CCCTTCCCCTTGGAGAGGAGACATCCTCTAATTCCCCACAGAACGCATGACAGCTTCTTCAAGGCCTCGAAAGACTCGTCTGAAGAAAAGCTATTTTGTGTTATTTGTGTAACTTTCTTTTGTCCCACTGAGCCCTGCCTGGTTATAAAGACAGCACCTGGATTTACAGGTAAGGAATAGTAATAAAAACTACCCCAGTAATTCTTCTGAAACGTGCCCAGAATATTGTTCCTGTAGCACAGGTCACACGCATATTCAAAGTACATCACCCTGCAGTAGATGCCCGGAATATTGTTCCTGTAGCACAGGTCACATGCATATTCAAAGTACATCACCCTGCAGTAGGAAGTGGTTTGGTTTTATAAAGTCTCAGGTGTCCCTAATCCATGACCTGCCCATTGAGCCTATCAGGAAATCTTCATCTGTTCAGGACTTGCTCTAAACAAAGAGAGCTCAAGCTAATGCCAGGGGTGCAGTATTTCTGGGTCTCCTACCAGTTTGTTACCACAGTTGAGTACCTGCTCTTTGCAATCTCTTACCCTGCATGGTCCCCACGCTGTAGCTGACCCCTCTTTCACGGAGGGGTTGGTTACCCAAGTGACTTTAAAATATCTCAGAGGTGCTGAGATAGATGGCTCCCATTTGCCCTGCCAGGGGCTCCCAGCAGGACCTGAAGCAGTGCTTCAGCAAGCGATGTCCAGGCAAGGACAGAGGAGTGGGAAGACACGGGTGATGCTCAGGAAATGTCTGATGCCCCTCATCTCCCAGAAGCTGCTGTTCTTCATGCTGACTAACAAGGCAGGCAGAGGCCCAGGGAGCAGCTGGTGCTCACCCAGTGCTGCTTTCACTGTCTAGGAAACTCTCAGATGAGGTCAGGCTGATACACAAAAGCTGCTTGTGCTACCACTCACCTCGTAGCCCTCGGACACCGTGCTGAGGGCTGCCAAGTGCTTGAGCCCTAATTCTTCGCTGGGGCAGAGATCTGCCATGCGTGGCTGCCTCTCCTGACGTTTGTTGGTTATCTACAGGGCACAGTTCAAGTCTTTGCTCTGCAGCTCTATCAGGCTCTTGATCTATGGGAAAGCAAGATTTTGCTCTCCACGCAATTCTTTTCCCAAAAGGAGCACTTCAGCTGCAGGTGTCGATAGTGCAAAACAAAGCCGAGTGATTGATGCCCTGCTGCTTGTGTAAGAGGCCTGAACAAGGCACGGAGAAGCTGGAGTCTCTTGCAGAGCACAGAAAAAGCATTACCACAAAACTGCCGGTTAGTTAGGGCAGCTACCTGAGGCAGGGGAGATGTAGCTTCAAATTCTCCAAGCTGTGCTTCCCACAGCCAAGACAAGTGACCTAAATCTGTGAATTTCTGGCTGGATGGGCTCTCCCGGTAGCTCCTGCGGGCACTGTCCCACTCTGCGTGAGGAATTACCGAGGACAGCAAGGATTCAACCCCTCAGCTCCCACACTTCTGGCCCATCAGACCACTCCAAAATAACAGCTCTCCTTTCCTCTCAGACGGGAGCACTTCGTCAACGCCGCAATAAAGGCCTGAATGAGAAAGAAAGCGAGGCCAATACTGGGCACCTCGCCACATGTCTGAATCCCCCTATAAATCTGCCTCTTGGTTTGAATCTATTATTAATGTTTTAGGCTTTCAGTACATCAACAGTTTTACAAATTCTACTGTGTTCCTTAGAGTCATTTAATCTACAACCCACAATTTTCTACTCTTTATTAAAATATTATTTCAAGGCTGCAAATTTCAGACTCTTATTATGAATTAGTGTCTGCATTTTTTTTTAAAAAAAAAAATCTTTAAACCACAACTTCAGAAAGGAATTCAATAAGAAGGTTAGCCACTGAACATACCTCACCATGGAATGATGATGAGGTATATATTAGGTGTTCTTCAACACCTAATGTAGCTTGTCCTGCTTTTCCCTCTGTACATATTCAAGTTTTTGCAAATTCCCGTAAGGCAAGAAGTATGTTAGATGATGAGCGCACCGTAGTAGTATTGTTTAGGCAGTTAGACATACTAAAGATACAGGATTGAGCTGTTAATCAATACGCTGTTGAAAACTGACACAAAAATAATGGAAAAAAGTAACAGTCTACTGCTTGCATTTAATATGAGAGTCAGTTAATCCATATTTTCACTGAATACTTTGCTGTATTCTTTTTCAATTCGTTGTCGTTTAGTTTATATGATTTACCTTCATAGTCAAACTGTTTGGTGGCTCTTCGCTGATTGTCTTGAATGAACATTTTAACAAAAGAATGATCAGTATGAGTTAAACTAAGAACAGAATAATGCCTAGAGGAATTTCCACCTGTGCTAAAAATAAGCATTACATTCTCAGCTGTCTTTCAAACTCTCCTCAAATAAGGATTTCATGAGCTGTAGCCAATGCATGCTTCAATTTTTTTACCACCACCTACACTTTTTGTACTGCAGCAATACCCAGACCCTTGCCAGAGCCGACAGCCTCCCTAACAGTGACAGGCTTGTACACATGTGAGGAAAAGGCACAGTCTTAGCCCCAAATAACTTCAATTCTTGGAGGTATTTATTGGTTTTAGTACAACTCAAACTTGACAGAGAAGTAACACAAAAAGGGTGCATGTCACAATCACTTCTTACCAAAAAAGAGGAGGAGATCATGTTATAACCCATGAAGGACAGCCATCTCTTGCTGTGACTACTTTCTCTGTGTGGTACAAGACTGCTCTGAAATTTTTGTGGAAAATTTTAAAAATAGGTTATGAGATCAACCTGACTGATGCACACTCAACTGAAATGTGGGTACACAGTTCTTCACCCTTCTGGGAAAAAAAAGTGTTTTTTGAAAACTACATTGAAGAACTGAGACAGTTTCAATATAACTGGTTTGAGTGCTGGTCTTCAGCATTAAAAGTACACTTTGTTTATTTCAAAGTATGAAGTTTGCCTGAATATAAAAATGCACACTTAAGAGAACCTGACAAGTATTTTTCCAGCAAATTTCTGTACTTGGTATAACTTCCTTGAATTTGCTCTTAAAATCCCTCATCTCACTATGGCATGCCATGAGTCTTTTCCAAAGATCTCAGTCTGCCACAATGTCCACAGCGCAATTAATCACAATTCAATCCCTTCAGCATGTGACAATGGTGGGTTTTTTCTCCTGTTCTACCCATTCTTTTGCATACATAGATGTGTCAATCATGCACTTCAGGAAGCCTCTGACTCAGAGCTAAGCCTGCTCCTCACATCAGAAGATCTTGAATCTGTCCCTTGCTCTGCCAACAAATTCTTAGTCAGCATGGCTCAGCCACTTGGAGAACCACCTCCTCTGTGGACAGCCATGATACTCAAATGGGTAATTAGGGCATCCACATTCTCTTACATTCTTCCAGCGCGAGTGTTGTTACTGGTTATGAAACTGTAGCACTGCATAGGATACAAATAATAAAATCACTGGAGCATGATATCCACTCAGGATGTATAGTTAATGACTAATGAAATCACACGTCACACTGTTCTTCAGACCATAGTAGAGTGTGGCACAGTACAGTCTGATTAACCATAAGCACCCTTTCCATGTTCACGAACGTGGGAACAAAACATTTCACTTTCATACAGTCTGAATCCCTGAGTTTATTTTAACCTGGAGTTTCCACAGTATGGAAGAAAGACAGCAGCTTCAATCCCATTAATATTGAGAGCGTGCATGAACCTTCACCTCATCCCAGTATAACCTCGATGATCTGCGCAGATTATCCCTCTACTCCTTGAGCCTAGGCACCACCTTGTTGGGTATGAGGGAGAGCTGACCTCCCCACTCCTTTTTTTAATGCAAGCAGGTAATTTGAGGTCTCTGTTAGCAATAGTTTAAAATGACCCAGGAACAGGAGTGGTAAGGGCTGAGGGCTTGGTTGCCAAGCAGCCCATGCAAGTGCTAAGCAGTCAATGAAACTTGCAGGACTGGAGGAAGACAGTGACCATCTCTGACACAGACCACTTGAGAGCACCTGAGCAATGTGCCTATCCTGACTCTCATTAGTAACATCTTTAAACTGCATGTATGACACATTCTAAATACATCTCATAAACTTTCTTGAACTGCATTCAGTGTAAGGATAAAAACATTTTGGAGAAAAAGTAAATTAAATCTACATTTGACCACCTACCTATGCAAGTCCTGCCGTCAGGCCCTAGCTGCAGTCCTGGAGAAGGACAGCGGCACCGTACCTCCCCTTTCAGTACATCACAGCCGTACTGACAGTTTGCCATCGAGCAAGAAAGGGCATCTAGGGAAAAAGAATTGAACATATTTAGATAAGGACTCCAATCAGTACCAGAAAATTACTAAAAACTTTGGAGAATTAAGATGTCGTATAATTATGACAGAAGTGGAGAAATGCTTGTTGAATTTGACAGGTGTCTGTTCAGCGTTCAGGCTTTAAAGAGTAAATGCATGTGCAGTAAATTTTTTCTTTCCACAAACTGCATCTCTCAAAAAAAACCAAACAACAACCAAAAACAAAACCAAAGAAACCACAACTGTAGCAAGTTGTGTCATGGAATGCATGAGCCCAGTATGTACTATAAACTCTCCTGGACAGTACTGCCATTTTAAAATAGGAGCATCTTTAATTAAAGGTAATTTCTCTCCCCTTCTCTTTGTCCAGAAATTCAAAATATCCACTTTTATGGGAGCAAGTAGGAACCTGATCTCTAGAGAGATGACTATAATTTTATACCAGTCAAACAACCAACATCTGCAGCTTTAATGATTTTACATTCACAAGGACATAATACAGCAGAACTGCAGGTGTCTTGCTGCAATGAAAACCGCAAGCACTTGTCCTTGAAGGCCAATTAACAGTAATTTACAGCATTGAAGAATGCTTCTGGGGAAACCTGTAATAAAACTAATAAAATCAAAATATTTGCTCTTGTTTTGTTCAGCCTAATTTCATCAGAAAAAAGCAGCTCATCTTCTGCAACTGCCTAATTTCCAGCAAGATTAATCTTTTACTTTGGAACCCATCTTTATTTCATAAAAGTTTCCCAGGGACACCCAAGTAGGGATCTTGAGGAGCTTGAAAAAAAGCAAGCAACAAGCCTTGCCGTACTCGAGCACGTTCCATCTGGCATAAGCATGTAGCCATTCAGACAGTAGCACTTGTAGCTGCCGTAGGTATTCATACACCGGTGTTTGCATGGCCGTGGTTTTAGTCCACACTCATTGAGATCTGAAATGAAGGGTACAAGGTAAGGGGGTGGGAAAAGAAAACATAAAAAGTATGTGTGAAAAAACTACTAGTTCAAGTTCCTGGAGAAAGAAGGAAAAATATGGCTATTAGTTTTTTATAAGCAGTCCAGCTGATATGATAGCAAGTGTCCAGAACATCCCGCGTGAAGCACTGTTCACCCCTCCTGCCAAGTGGCGTATTTTCTTCTATTTCACAGATATCCTTTCAGAAACGACAGTATTAGTATTCGATTAAGTGCCAACAGAAGTTTCCTTAGGGAACGCAGAAGCTCAGGCTGCCCGTGTCTTGCCACTATTCACGTTGATGTCAAGTCCAGGACCAGGCAGAACTCTGGAGGAGGAGGAGGGAGAAAGCAAATGCCACAGCTGCAATCACTATCAGTGATTCTGATAGCAATTCAGTGATTCTCTATCATGCTTCAAAATCAGCCGCAGAGGAAGGCAGGAAAGCTGATGCTAACCTACTTTAAACAATCTCAGAGAGAAAATGTATTCCTTACTATCTAGAAAATACTGGGGGAAAAAAAAAAGTATCTGAGTTCAGTGATATTTGTCAAGGACTATCCATGAAGGCTGGTATTTCAGATTTGCAATCTAATACAGAATTCATGACTTAAACTGAAAATATTCAGTCTACAATTTTTATATTAGTAGAGAAGGCTTCTAACAAGAAGACTGAGTGAAAATTTCCTTCAGAATTCTCTTCCAAGAATACGTGTTGGTTTCCTCTAAGTAAACCAGAATAATTTGTTACTTACTTATTTGTGTACTGACGAGTAAGGACGACAATAAAGGTGAAAATAACAATTCTATTCACAAATCCAGCCAGCAAGTACTTAAACAACTGAGTTACCGACCCTCACCTCTAATATTGCACAATGCTGTCCGAAGGTCTGTTGCAGTAAGAGAGCCACTGTTATTTCCAGGAACTTTTCAAAGAGCCATCTCCACTATTAAGCACTTTCTCATCAAGTGTCACTCCCTACCCCATGTAGCAGAAAAGTAAGCCTTGGGGCTCCTACCAGGTGCAGACACACACACACACACACAGAGTAACCACTTTATAAAATGCCAGCTGAGAAGGTGACGTGTTTTTTATGGACTAGATGTGAAGGCTTAAAGTTAAGATGTTAAAACAGAAAGACAAATATACCTCTGGTTAGAATTAAGTCAGCAACTCATTGATCGCTTTACGGACTGAAGTAGCAACCTTAACAAGGTCTATATTGTAAATGGAGTGAGAGAAAGTTAGGTTCACTGTGGAGATGAAGTCAGAGAAAACGTTGCTTCTAGACAGCTACAGCTGGAATTCTTCAAATTCCTAGTACCTGGATTTCAAATTCACTTAGTTTTGGAGGGCAAATTCATCTTCATCTTATTTTGTCTAGGCCAACGTGTTTTAAAATGGCATTCTAAAAATTGAGAAGTGTTTTCCCTTTCATTATGACTGATAAAATGCAGAGCAATCAAGAGAAAAACAAATGTATCGGTCTACAAGTCAGTGACAGAATCCAAAATCAGCCACAAGGATTTTGCCGGTGCCTGTAAGGAGCACTCTGTTCTGTCACTGCTGTTCCTGAGAGCTCCTAACGCTGTTTCTGCTTTTATAAAACCTGTTGTTTTCTGACCCACTGTGCTTTCATCCTCATGGGGTCAAGGAATAGCAAGCATTATGCAGACAGGCATTTGTCCCTCCCCACAACCCTTCCCTTAACTGACAGATATAGCCTTTTTTACCTCATTTTCCAAGGCCTCGGGAAGAGCAGCGGGTTTAGGGATAAGAATACTTCCTGCTCCCCTCTGCTGCGAGAGGGTAGTGGTGAGGGATATAATTTTCCCTTTCCTCCTGCAAAAGGCTGAACAAGATGTTTCTAGGAAGCCCGAAGGGGAACATTTGCTCCTGGAGTGGCAAGGAAGACCAGGTGAGCACAAGCAGGATTTCAGCAAGGAAAGGCTGCCAAAAGAAGGGCCGGATCTGTGCCTGATAAACACGGAGCGATGACCGTTTCTGCAGTCTTCCTGCGGATCATGCGTTGCAGAAAGATGACCGCTTTTCCACTCTCACCCTTCAGGTGTTTGAAAACATTTCTGGAGTTGCTAGGAGAACATCCGTCTCCCACCAAGCACCAACGCCACAATCACAAGAGCGTACCTGGTGGGTGTGAGAAAACAGCTGCAGAAGAGATGCACATTTTCTACTCTGAGAGCAGGATCTTCAGCTAAGAGTGGTGACTATGGATAGAGTGCGCGCATGGGTCAAAGGGCAAAGCAGCAGATGATTATGGTGGTGGGGAAGGGTAAGTTTTCATTGTGAAAATCTTTGTGTAAAAAAAAAATTTACGTAAATGCTCAATAATAAACAGGTGAAAATTCGCATTTGGGGAGGCAAGCTTCTCTGGGTAGCACACAAAGCTGCTTTTTTCTTTCTTCTGTAAAATGTACTAGAATGAGGCAGCTCCTCACAGACCTTATAGCTGCATTAACGTATTTATTACACATGCAATACGTCTGTTGAAAAAGTCCTTGTTAAATTCAAAAATTCTTAACAGAGTTTGACTTCAGTTCATAAAGTATCCCCACAGAGCCCACACTATTGACTATTCGGAGATTCATGGACAACAATCATTTTGAGGTAAGAGAAAGAAAAGTTCTAGAAGTCTAAAATTCTTCCTCTTTTGTACAAAAAGCATCCCTTTACGAAATAAATGCATAACAGAGCTAAGTATAAAATACTTGGCTAGAAGCAGGGACAGAATGAGGAAAGCTACTGCTGAAATTAAGCTGACAGGGCAGGATTTTAACAGTGTTAAAAGCAGGATGTTAACTTCCAGTACTTACATCCCACTGCACTTCAGCTCCTAAGTTTATATGCTCCTGAAGACTTTACCCTTAAGAACTGTCTCGCACATATTTCCAGAGCTACAACCACAGATCCAAAGTTGAAAACAATAAGAATTTATGACTGTTCTCAGTTTACCATCTTGCACAAAGTATAGATTACATTATGAGCCTTAAATAATTGGATCTTTCTATAGGACTCTGAATACTACACCACCATTTGGTACAAAATATTCTTAGTACAGAAATGAAAGCTCTGGCAGTGACAAATAAGACAGCTATTAGTAACATACTCTGAGAATAACCTGATATTAAAAAGTATGTGCAATCAACTGTATTAGGATATC